TCCTGAACCCCATACCTCAACCCTAAACCCCGAACCCTGAACCTGAAACCCTAGAACCATATACCCGAAGCTACTAGCATCCATCCCCTACGGTGTAAACCCCAAACTTCACCCCCGAAGCTTTTAGCATCCATCCCCTACAGTGTAAACCCCAAACTTCATCCCCGAAGCTTTTAGCATCCCCTCCGGACGTGTGGCCTTGAAAGGAGTCTGGCGAAGGTCGTACTTCTCCCCTTCGGCATCGGTGTACATGAGGATGTCGAAGACCTGGCTTCAGAGTTCGGCTTAGGGCTTATAAGTAGGGCTAAGGGTCTAGGGCTTGAAGGAATTAGGGTTTAGGGGTTATCAGAGTTCACCAGTTGTCTAACTTATTAACTGGGTTTAGAGGGTTCGGCTTAGGGCTCCTTAAAAGGGATCTATAGGGTTCCTTAAAGGGATCTATAGGGTTTAGGGTTTAGGGTCTACTTAAAGGGTCATGGGACTTAGTAACTAGGGATATGATTAGGGTAACTATACTCATAATTACTTATTACTCCCATTAGGGAACTTATAACCCTACTTACTAAGTCCCATGATCCTCCAAGCAGGGTTGGGCTTAGGGCTATTGGGTTTAGGGTTTGGCGTATAGGGTTCAGGGCTTTTAGGGTTTGGGTTGTTGAGCTTAGGGTTTTTAGGGTTTAGGGTTCAGGGATTTTAGGGCTTAGGGATTTAGGCTTTGGGGTTCGGTTTAGCGTCCGGGGTCTAAGGTTTAGGGTGTAGGCTTTAGGATTTATGGTTCAGGACTTAGGGTTCAATATGGTTGTAACTGTATCACGTTTGCTTCGGAATACTCGGTGAATCCAAGGGTAAAAGGAGGGACCCTTAATAAGGACCCCCAGGTATAAACCCTTAATACAGCTATTATATACCCATTATATAGCCCATTATAGGGTAGGGGTCCCCATGAAGGGTCCCTCCTTTTCCCTTTGAGTGAAGGATGCTTTAGGGCGCCAGGCTGTTGGGCTTAGGGTTTAAGGCCTTAAGGACTTGGAGGTTTAGGGGTTTAGGGAATTTAGGTTTCAAGGGTTTAGGGGTTTAGGGATTTAGCCTAGAGGTTTAGGGGTTCGGGGGTTTAGGGGGTTAGGGCTTACAGGTTAAAGTTTATTAGCATTAAAAGTTTCGAATTTTAGGCTTAGGGGTTTCAAGCTTCGGAATGTTCAGTTGGGCTTTCAGAGTTTAGGGATGTGAGTTCACGGCTTAGGGCTAAGAAACTTTGGTTTCACGGATACGGATTCAATACAGGGTGGTTTACGCAGATTCTTATTGCAATGTCCGAACCGGGTTTTAGGGGCGTTTGGAATCCCCTTTACGGCACTTCCAACTCGACAATTGCCTACTTACTAAGTACCCCGACCATCCAAGTATTTATACTTCTTTAATGGAGTTTAAAAGATGTCTCCTTTCCGCCCTTGAAGGATTCGGGAGTTTGCGTCGTTGTTGAGGGCTGCCGCAGTTTTCTGCTGGAGAGCCTCGGGTTCAGGGTTTAGGGTTTATCTGGGGTCCGAGGGCTTGCGGTTTAGCGTTAGGGTTTAGGGTTCGGGTCTCAGGGTTTGGGGCGTTTTGGGGTATACGAGGTTAGGTCTTGGGGTTGAAGGCGTGCCTTCGAACCTCTTTGAAAGGTGACTGTGTAAGTAGCTTTTTACGCATCATAACACAGCTAGGACTACTTCTAGGGTGTTTAACTCATAACTCTACTTACTGCATACTAAGTCCCGCGACCCTCCAAGCTACCTCCGGGCTTCAGGTGTAACTGACAGCTTGGCCTTCTAACACCCGCCCTGAAGGTGCGAACTTCCGTTAATTACACGGCCCGCGGTGTGGGATTTGAGGAACATCCTAGATCTTAACCCATGAAGGGCTCTCTGTCATGATTCATGTAAGACACATTTTCCGCAGCAGCATGTATAGGTAGTATTATTAACCCCTGAAAGGGTACCCCTTCTGAACCCTACTTCTGGCTCTCTTAAAAGGGGCCTCATTGAGAGGGTCTATATCCCCAAGGGTCCTCCTAATCCTAACTCCCAAAGTACAGGGCAATCTGGATCAGGATTTAGCTAGGATACCCAGTAACCTAAGAATAAAAAGGCCTCTCTTTTTGGTATTGGGTAACTTTATAAGGAACCTAGGACTACAAAAAGGGAATAAGGGTACTACTGGGCATCCTAGTTAGGCACACCTCAAACCCGAAACCCCCGAACTTCAGAGCCGAAAGCCACAGCACAAAAAGCTCACCGGATCGAGGTCTGTGGGGGGGATTTCTGGTTTGGGCCTAGGGTTTCGGGCTGACGTGTTTGGGGGGAGTTGGGTGTTGCTGTTCGGGTTTGGGGTTTTGGGCTTATGCACGGTTTAGGGTTTAGGGTTTAGGGTTTAGGGTTTAGGGTCCATGCCTTCAAGTCGGCGAGACTTACGTCAAGCCATGAACTCCTAAACTGCTTTTTGCAGGCCGCTGCACCGGGACGAGTTACAATCGGATACACCTTTCGGTGTCAGTGCTCTCGACGACGGTTTCGAGCTTCTCTTGAGAAAGACCATGACTGCGCCTTGTAAGAGTTCCATGAGCCTTGGATAGGTTTTGCAGAGTTTTGCATTCCTGGAATAGCTTGCCAAATCTTAAACCCTAAACCCTGTCCTTCCTATCAGTTGCCCCTCGGTGCTACATTCCTAGATATCCCTGCACCTTCAAGGCCCTCAACCCTAAACCTAGTCCAACAAGTTGCCCATCAAGGCACTCTCTACTTGGAGGGCCGGGGGACTTAGTAAGTAGTTATTCTATAGGTCAGCAAGTATCACAATCCCAATTAGGGTTTAGGGTTCAGTCAGCATCCCTTGTAGGGCACTTATACGTCTACATAATAACCACTTACTAACTACCCCCGACCCTCTAAGCGCTCTAGCCCGATGATTCAACTATGGGTCGAAACGAAGGCTTGGGGGCTCTTACTTGGAGGGTCGGGGCACTTAGTAAGTGGTTATGCTATGGACTTAGATGTACCATAACCCCAATTAGGATCCCTTTTAGGGTACTTATAAGTCTACTTACCAGCTACTTACTAAGTCCCCCGAGGGTCTTCATGTCAATCCCAGGAAACACGAATGCGAGCACAACTTCATACCGTTAAACTCGAAGCCGCCAGGTAGATCCTGGTCTCCGAGAACCCTCAACGAACTGTTTGCAGAAGGGCTCTCGAAGAAGTCGCGGGGAACCGTTTGCGCAGCGCAAGGGATTCTCAACTACTTTTGGCCTGCAGCAACCTAAACCCTCAACCCAAAACAAAACTAACCCCCAAACCCTAAACCCCTAAACCCTAAAACCCCTAATTAAACCCGAAACCCAAAACAAAACTGACCCCCAAACCCTAAACCCCTAAAACCTCTAATTAAACCCGAAACCCCTCAAACCCTCAGCCCGCTAAACACATGAACTGGCAACCGCCCGCACTAAGTCCCAAAACAAGGCTTTTATGGAGCATGTGGTTTAGGGTTTAGGGTTTAGGGTTTAGGGTTTAGAGTCTCCTCAACCCTGAAAGACATTACCTCTTACTGCAGAAACACTTAACCATAAACCCCAAATCCCTAGGCCCCAAACCCTAAGCTCTACGAAACCCAAAAGCCCGAAAAGCTGTAAACCTCCTGCAGACTCCGGAACTGGGAAAGGGATGCTGGTGACAACAGTGCCAACACACTCTTCCTTGCTGATGGCATCTTGGTTGAGGGTTTAGGGTACGTCTTGCTCGATGACTGCGTTGGTTTCAGAGCATCACGCAATACACGCGGGGCAAACTCATATCCCTAACCTAAGGCCTAAGGCCCAAGGGTCCAGGTATCTCCTTAGGACGGTCCGGAATGTCCTAGGGAAGGTGGTTAATGGTTTAGGGTCTAGGGTTTAACGGTTTTAGTGGTTCAGGGTTTGCTTTGGGTTCAGGGGTTAGTTTGGGTTTCGGGTTCAGAGGTTTTACTTGGTGCTATTAGGTATCAGAGGGTTCGATACAGATCCTTGCTTCTGAAACAACCCTATCACTGCACTAGAATCAGAACTGATCACAAGGGATGATAAGGGGGTTTTGGCACGTATTGTTCAAGCGTGTTTAATGCAAGCTGACCCTAAAACCAAAACCCTAAAGCCTGAGCCGTGACTCCTCAATCCCAAAACCGCTGACAGAAGCTGCGACGGTCCACCCCAGCTTTAAAAGCCCCTCTCTCAGGGTCGCTTCCAAGTTTCGGTCATTCTCGTAGGATTCTTCTCACGATTCGGGATCTTAAAAGGTATTTTTTGAAAGCTTCATTGCGGGATCTGCAGAGATCCTTTCGGAGTCCCAGTGATCTTTAGGATATCGGTAAAGGAGTTTGAAGGATCTTTAAGAGGGAATATAAAAGTGCTCTTCACGGGATCTTTAGTATCCAAGCCATCAGAGTTCACCAGTTATCTAACTTATCTAACCAGTGGTTGGGGGGTTCCCTTAGCCTTTTAGCTCCTCGTTTAATAGGGATTATCATCATCCCTGGCTCCTTAGCTCCTCCAATATCAATGGTTAGTTGTATCCCATGGCCCCAGTCAGAATTTAAGGCCATATATCGAGATGTTCGAAAGAGATGGCAACCGAAAGCGTTCCCGCGGAGAGAGATGAGTCCGAGGACCCACAAAACTGTCTTGAAACGAATCCGGATCCGCTTTGACGGTTTAGGATTAAGGATTTAGGAGGGTCGAGGGTTGTCAAACTGGGATGTAGAGCGGGGCTCACGTTGGCTACAAAGTAACGTCTTGAGATCTTTCCGGGTGCCCGGAAGAGCACAGAAACACAAGCATGTCGCGCTTGTAACCGCTCTTGTACCATTTGATCAAGGATCCTTGTGTCTCTGCGGAGGTTTGTAGCCACAAGCCCGGCTAAAATCCACTAGTGTACGGACCTTAAGGTAATGCAGGATGTATATCATCAACCCTAGGACGAGGATCCGGATGGCTCTCACAACGCTTCGATCTCCATGTCGTCTTCGTTCATGATGAAAGCGAACGAATCGATGCTTCCCGCGCGAACCTGGCTCTTGCAGGAGTGAATGTGGTTCTATGCTCCTTTACAGTTTTCTATAGGGCTTGGGTCTTCGGGATACCATTTGGAAGGCTTTGGTAAGGCTTCAACGGATTTTAAACCAGCTAGATTGGTGTGGCTCTGACGTCTGATACATGTACTTGGCTTCTACACCATCTTTAACAGGTTCCTAAACCCAAGAGTAACCTGGGAATAAAAAGGGTGCCCTTTTTGGGTTCAAGGGGCTTATAAGGGAACCTGAACCCTACAAAAAGGGAGTAAGGGCCTACTCCAGGTCCTAGGCTCTTATAGTCCGTATCAGAATCCCGTGTCTTCTGGCACCAGCTGCGACCGCGGCTTGGCGTCTTTTCGGCTGCAGCAGTTGAAGGCTTACTAGGCTGCGCTGCTAGAGTACTTGGAGAGTCGGGGGACTTAGTAAGTAGTTATTTTGGAGACTTATAAGTACCAAAACCCCAATTAGGATCCCTTTTAGGGTACTTATATCTCTACTTATGACCTACTTACTAAGTCCCCCGACCCTCTAAGTATGGCAGCTTGGTTTGCAAGTTTATCTTCGAGGCGATGCCAGCCGAATCGGAACTATGTCGACATCAAGTGTCGGTGGCTTTTTTTTAGTGCGGTTGTGGCTGTCACCTTCAATCCGTGTTGCGAGTCTTAAAATTCGTCAAAACTTCGTTTAGGGTTTAGGGTTTAGGGCCCTTCCTGAAGCTCGAGGGCCTCGGCCAGCATAGAGAACGTAACTTTCGTGAACACATCATTTGCAAAGCCAAGCAATATGTGACCTGAGAGCCCTGCAGCAGTAGCACAGGTGTGGACGACATCAAGCATCGACCCAACAAGTGGGTTTATATAAGTCGGATAACTACAGTTGCAACCCATATTCTCGGCCCTAGCTATCCAAAACCCTAAACCCTAAACCCTAAACCCTAAACCCTAAACCCTAAACCCTAAACCCTAAACCCTAAACCCTAAAGCCTAAGACCTTTTAAGGCCGGAACTCCTTAGGGTTCGAGTTCAGGTAGCGTCCCCACTTGGAGGGTCGGGGACTTAGCAAGTGGGTAATAAGTAGACTTATAAGTACCCTAAAAGGGATCCTAATTGGGGTTATGGTACTTATAAGTCTCCAAAATAACTAGTTACTAAGTCCCCCGACCCTCCAAGCAAGCAATGATGTAAGTACTTGTAGTGGGATCGGGGTGTGGGGGCTTATACACTTTGAGGGTCTGGAAGACTCCGTAAACAGTTGCTTTATAAAGTTATCAGCAATATAACCCCAAAGAAATTTTCCGTTGCAAGCGCATCATGTTCCTCCTGCGTAGTTAAAGTTTCGCTGGCTCTGAGCCTTAACCCTAAACCCTGCAAAACTGGCTCTGAACCATTATTTTGTTCAGTACTTTGTCCAGCCCCAATACAACTCAAACTCCTTCACATAATCAAGCGCCTTTACCAATTCTTGAGTGGCTTGTTAGACCATCGTTAGAATTAGGGGCTCTGAGGACTCGTATGACCATTGACTCCGACCCCTTTACCGGCCGAATGTGGAACCAACCCAACGGAAACTTCTCCTGTGGCGTGGGGCGTCACAGTCGTTGCTGGGGGAAGTGCTTATTGCCCTAACCCTCTACAATAGACTAGACCTTGAACCCCAAGCCTTCAACCCTACACCCGTAACTAACATACATGAGGGCTGACCCATTGGAAAAAATCCGTTTTGCGTGGTGCGAAACTTCGGGATGCGCGTAGCCTAAACCAAAACCTCACATCTTGCAGTCAAAGCCCACATCCTGAACCCGAAAGCCCCAAACCGCGAACCCTAAGGTAAAAGCCAGAAAGTTGGAATATGATTATCCTAACCCTTCTATGGTAAATTATAGGGTATCCTACCCTGAAACCATATTCCAACTTTCTGGAGTTCCCTTTAAACGTTGAACCTGGAAACCCTGAGCTTCAACCCCCAAACCACATGATCCATGTAAAAGCCTAGTAAAACCTAACTTGAACTGTGATTTACAGGGGCCCCCCAAAGGGGGCATGGCAAACACTGTTTACTAGCAAGGGCTGGCGAGAATCCGATGCGCATGCAACGCATCTGCGCACATCTGTTTCCATCCTCCCATGGCATCCACCCACCCCTGTCTGCCCGCCTATGATTTTCGTCGTCTTGTTCAGGGTTTCTCTGCTGTGTCCGCTCCTCCCAACCCGCTGGCCGTGGTGCAGGAATCAAATCGCTTGCGGCTCGAGAAGGCATGAAACCTTTTCTTGTCCCTTGGAGCGGAGGGGCGCAGAGTGGGCCGAGAATCACAGTGTCAGCCGGGAGAGGCAGGGGTTGCAGCGGGGCAGGCGGCAGCGCAAGGCAGGGATAGGAGTAGGGGCGGGGAGGAAGGCAGGTGAAGGGGCAGGGGCAGGAAGCGGCAGGGGCAGGGCCAGCAGCCAGGGCTAGGGGGGCACTCCGCAGCACTCTGTAAGGCTTTGCAAGCCTTGCGGAGCGTTGCGGAGTGTTGCGGAGCGTTGCGGAGCGTTGCGGAGCGTTGCGGAGTGCTGTCCCTTCGTCGTCCGGCAGCACTCCACAACACTCGCAAAATCTCGCAAAGGTTGCAACACGGTCAAGGAGGGTGCCGCCACCGATGCCGCCGCCCACCCCGCCACTGCCCGCCGCTCTGCGCGAAGTGCGCCCGAGCCCGAGCCCGATTTCGAGTGAGCCGCTCCAGCTCGAGCCCACTCGACGCGAGCCCGAGGCGCCTTCACCGCCGTCGCTGACCCCGCTCGGCGGGGCTTGGGACTACGCAAACTTTCCAAAGCCTTCCGCCCCACTGCGCAGAGGTTGCTCACGCTGATGGAGGAGGAGATGAGGAGGAGTAGTGGGAGGAGTTGTAGTCCTACTGCTCACAACCTGACGGTGTGCCTCGATATCACCTTGCAGGCCCTATTAAGGCTTACTAAGGCCCGAAACTGCTCAATAACGAAACAAACTATAAAGGCCTACTAGCTTTTGCTAGGGCTTGCTAGTGCCTGCTAGGCCTTGCTATCTCAGCTGCTTGTCTCGTTTGAAACTCGATTTGGCATACCCCCTTAGGGGGGTCCCTTTAAATCACCTCCCATAACTGCCGCGAAGCAAGCGATAGACCCTAAAGCCCCCCAAACCCTGCACCCCAAACCCCAAAATCTCCAGAAACCAAACCCTGAACCCTAAACCCCCTAAAACCAGAAACTCTCGACTCCCCCCCCCAACCCTTAAGCCCCCAACCCCAGAAACACAACGATGCCCTAAACACTAAACCCTAAACCCTCAACCCTAAACCCTCAACCCCAAACCCTAAACCCTCAAAACGAGGCCGCGCAGCCCGCGAGAGATGTGCGTTCACCGTCTGCGGCGAGAACTCATCGAGAAGCGCCTCCTGCAGCGAAAAAACCGGGTTCCTTTAAAGGGTTCTATAGAAGGGGTCTATGAGGGGTGTATAAGGGTTCTATATTGAGGGGCCCGAAGAATTAGAAAGACTTTAAATTTCAGGGTTTAGGGTTTAGGGTTTAAGGTTTTTTTTTGGCTCACCGACGCAAGAAAACCCTGATAGTACCGGCAAAACCTCGACCAAATGCATCCTGTAGAACCTTGGTCAGGGCCCACAAAAGCCCTAAGTCGTAAGCCCTACAACCCTAAAACCTAAACAGTCGAAACCCAACACCCCAAAACCTTACACCCCTAAAATCCGAAACCAAAAACCCCTAAAATCCGAAACCAAAAACCCTAAAATCCGAAACCCTAAACCCCTAAACCCTAAACCCTAATCCCTTTATAGGATCCCTTTAAAGGAACCCTAAGGCGGGCCCTAGACCGCCGGGTCCTTGAGGCTGTGGGCCTTGGAGGGAAGCTTTGAGATGGCGGCACTCTGCACCGAATTGCCGTAGGCGTACCTTGAGGCCCGTGGAGGTTCATGGGTAGGGTTTAGGGGTTTCATGTTTAGGGTTTAGGGGTTTAGGGTTTAGGGTTTAGGGTTTAGGGGTTTAGGGTTTAGGGTTTAGGGTTTAGGGTTTAGGGTTCAGGGGTTTAGGTGTTCAGGGGTTTAGGGGTTTATGAGTTTAGGGGTTTAGGAGTTTAGGGTTTAGGGTTGGTTTTAAGCGCAATGACCCTTTCTCCACGCCGCCGCAGGTCCAGAGCCTGCCTTAGGGACTCAATGAGTGGTTATGATCCAAGGGGAGAGGGAGGGACCCTTAATGGGGACCCCTACCCTGTAATGGGCTACATAGTTGGTATATAATAGCTATATTAAGGGTATATACCTAGGGATCCTTATTAAGGGTCCCTCCTTTTACCCTTGGATATGAGTGGGGTTCCAAGTAGGGCAACTCGAGTTGGAACCCGGGGATCGAACGCCCCTAGGACTAGCAAGGGCCTTCGGGTAGGGCTGACTTGGAGGGTAGGGGGGACTTCGAAAGTAGATACTTCACAGACTTGTAAGTACCATAACCACAATTAGGTTCCCTTTTAGGGTACTTATATGTCTACTTCCCTCACAGGATCTAGAAAGACAAGCCCTAATTTGAGACCTTTACTACTAAAGGATACTTGTGTAGGAACCCCGTTCAGGAGTCCAGCCTGGGGAGGTATCTGAGATTTCCCACATTGTTTGGGTACCAGACTGATGGTCCTCATAATGTAAAAGCCAGAAAGTTGGAATATGATTATCCTAAACCCTTTGTGGTAAATTATAGGGTATCCTACCCTGAAACCATATTCCAAGTTTCTGGAGTTCCCTTGAGTCAGGACTTGAGGCTGGGCGTTTGTAACTTCGGCTTTAGAGTTCAGGGACTTAGGGTGGATACTGTTGATGATATAAATCCTGCATTACCTTAAGGACCCTAAACTATGGGAATTATGGTATATTCCTTATAATGGGTCATGCAGGATTTATATCATCCACCGTAGGAGCGGAGGGTATCCTGGAACCAGGGTCCTCATATCAAGGATCCCAGTGCTTTGGGGTAGGGTTTAGGGTTTAGGGTTTAGGGTTTAGGGTTTAGGGTTTAGGGTTAGGGTTTAGGGTTTAGGGTTTAGGGTTTAGGGTTTAGGGTTTGGATCCCAGTGCTTTGGGGGCATGTAGCCCTCTGTTCTACAGCACTTAGCACTAGCGAGGCAATTAGGACGCAAGCAGGGTTGCAAGGGTAACTCCAGGTCGAGTACTTCCAGGGGCCTTAATAGTTAGAATAGGGTTTTGGGGCTCATTATACTGTAGTTATAATAAGGAACCACCAAAACAGTAAAGGTAATTATTTAGGCCCCTACGTTTCCTACAACCCCTATGATGATACCCTGCTTACTAAGTCCCCTGATCCTTCAAGTAACCTCGAAACCCTACTGTTACCTAAACCCTAAACCCTAAACATCGAAACCCTAAACCCAAGGCCCTCAACTTAAACCCTTACGGGATCCTCCACTCCGAAATGACTAAGCCTCCAAGCCCGAAACCCGACGACCAACGACTCCAAACCCTAAACCCGAACGGGCTTAGGGTTTAAAAGTCCGGGGTGAAATCCTAGCCCCTAAAACCCTCAAACCCTAAACCGATAAACAATAAACTCCCAAGCTCAGCTCTGCGCGTGAGGGTGCCGGAGACCAAAACAACGAAGCCGAACGCCTCTTGCAGAGGTACAGAGGTTCAATGTTGAGGTTTAAGGTTTCAGGCTTTAGGTTTCAAGCTTTAGGGACTTTGGGGCCTAGGGTTTAGGGTTTAGGGTTTAGGGTTTTTCTTAGTGACCCGAATATTCCGATCCCGATTAAAGTCCGGATTCGGGGCGGGGGTCAAGCAGGCACTTTAAAACCACAGGCAACATACGGGTCGGAAGAACTTATCGGTTATCGTACCCGTACGTAAAGGGTCATGGGACTTAGTAACTAGGGTTATAATTAGGGTAACTATACTTTTAATTGCTTATAACCCCAATTAGGGTACTTATAACCCTACTTACTAAGTCCCATGATCCTCCAAGTAGGGTTTGAGGTTTCGGGCTTAGGGTCTATCAAACGGAAAAGGAGGGACCCTTAATGGGGACCCCTACCCTATAATGGGCTATATATATATATATATATATATATATAATGGGCATATAATAGCTATATTGAGGGGCTATATTAAGGGTATATACCTAGCCCTTACGGAGGCCACATGTGCAAAAGGCGGCCAGCGGCTCCTTGCCATGTCTCCACGCCAAGAGGCTGGGACCAGAGATCCAATCAACAGCTCATCGGTCATCGTCGCTCACTGTGAGCACAAAACCGCAGATAGTACAGCTCCCTTTGTTCGTTGATTGCGATCACCCGTTCTGGGTTGTTAGGGTGTTTCTCCCAGTTCAAAGGAGAACCCATCTTCCGTCTTGGTCAGAAGTCCGTTCCTTACCGAGCCGTCCAAGTCGTTCTTCTGAGGTGATCTGATGGTCCATGCCGTGACCTCGTCCTCGGCTTCTTGAATCATCCCAGACCGATCCTTGACAGATCTGGCCGATCTGCACGAACTCGTGAGATGGTTCAGCGGCACGCGCAGCTTGGCGAGAGGAGCTTGCTGCTGGCAGCAACATCACGAACAAGAGGCTGTCTACCAACCTCATCAGAACCCCCGACAAGGCTCCACTTGTTTGGCGAAATGGACTTCGGGTCGATCTTGCATGCTGATGCCAGCACCTGGCCGCCAATTCCTTCTTTGACTCTAGAGCCTGAAGCTCCGAAATCCAGAAGCTCTCGTACAGGAAGCTTTTGGGAAGCTGTTGCTGAAATTCAAACACCACTTGGAGGAGTCATGGCTAGATATGGACTACATATGGTGCTAAGTAACAAGGACCGCGGCTAAAGTTGCAACCAAGTTACTTTGCTTCCATCTTTACCTTTCTTGAAGTTACCCACGACCCTCCAAGCATGAATTAAAAGCCCTACCAAACCGCTAAGCGCCGAAGCCCTCCAAAAACCTTCAATACATGCAAACGGTTCAGGGTTTAGGGTTCAGGGTTATCAAACCCTACAGCCCCTATTAACTGAGCAAAAAAAGGGCCATCTGGCCTGCAGCCAACTGCCTTGTCCTTTCCAGGCCTGCATATTTGCGGTTCATTTGTTGGAGCTTAGGGCTTAGGGTTCGGCTTCAATCATAAGTCAATATGAGTTTCATATCCAGGCATGAACAGGATGCCATAACCGTTCTTTAAAGGTTCCGAAAACATTCTAAGAAGACTCTGTAGAGTCCAGAGTTCATGGCCTCGGGCTGGAGCTCTTTATCCGCCTGAAGGGGCACTACGCTGTGATGAAGGGGTGCCTAAACCCTAAACTCCCAACCCAAACCGCCAATCCCTTCGCCTGAACCTTTTGAAAGGGTTGAGGTAAGGTTGATAATATAAATCCTGCTTTTCCTGAAGGACCCTAAACTATGGGAATTCTGCTTGATATTCCTAACTGTGAGTGATGCAGGATTTATATCATACTCTCAACCCTAAACTCTGAACCCGAAACCCCTAAACCCTAAACCCTCAACCCTAAACCCCAAAACCTAAACCCTAAACCGTATCAAACCTAAACCCTAAACCGTATCAACCCAGGATTTAGGGTGCAGACTTTTGTCCTTGGGGTTTCGGCTTTAGGAAGGGAGTCTGTTGGGGCTTGTGGGTTGGGGCTCTAGACCTAAGAGTAACCTAGGAATAAAAAGGGTGCCCTTTTTGGTTTAAAGGGGGTTATAAGGGAACCTAAACCCTAAAAAAGGGAATAAGGGCCTACTCCCGGTCCTAGGGCTTCTAAAGTTTAGGGTTAAAGGTTTAGGATTTAAAGGCTTTGGGTTGCAGGGCTTGAGGTTAAAGGTTTAGGGCTTAGAGGCTTAGGGCTTAAAGGCTTCAGGTTTTTGGTTGGAAGGTTTGGGGTTTAAGGTTCAGGGTTAGAGGTTTGGGGTTTGAAGATTTGGGGTTCAAGACTTGAGGTTTCGGGCTCTGGGTTTACAGGTTTAAGGTGTTCGGGTTTATGGGAGGTTCCGAAAATAGCGGACTCTAATATAGCACCCTAAATAGTAGGATCCTTATTATAAGGACTCCAGCATAAGGTACCCCCATTTTCGGAAACTCCCTTATGGTTTGGGGTTTAAGGTTTAAGGCTTGGGTGACGGATTGGAGTATGGGGAGGTTGTAGCTAAGTCTCACATGGATGATCGGGGTTGGGGCTGCGAACACGGTGCACATGCTCTAAACCCCAGACCACGCCAGGTCCTTTAAAACGCAACCCATTTGTACTCGGTTTAAAGTCAAGAGACCAGAACCCTGAAGATTAAAATCCAAACTTTGAACTTCCCCCTAACACCCGAACCTTGAACCTCGAAGCCCAAACCAGAAACCGTAAACCTTGGAGCTAGACTCCCAGCCGATAAAGTAAGCTTGCAAATGCCATGACAGTTCGCTGACAAAGGCCCTCAAATGGGGGCCTTGACAGCCAAAATATATTACAGCATAGTAGTATGACAGGATGATAGTTGAATACCATTTCTAGCCACTGCTAGCTCTTCCGACCATATCACATTTCGGAAAACCACAGAAAAAGCGCCTCGCCAACAGGGAAACCAAAGCCGGTGCCCACTCCTGCACAAAAGAAGGATAGAGGACTGGTCTGACGGGAAGCTGAAAGGTCCAAGGGTTTAGGATTTAGGAGTTTAGGGTTTAGGGCTCATGCTTTCAGATGTTTTGGGCCTGTTCAAGAATTTATACGGACTTTTTCTATAGAGTCTAAGAGCTAAGGGTATGCTCGTTATAAAGGTCTCAGAACTGTTGGGTGGGATCTTGGAGGCGTTAAGCCCGAAACCATAAACCCAGAGCCCTACACCCTAAACCTTGTTGAGTTGGGATCCTCGGTCTCTGGCATGAACCACTTCTGGGGTTCAGGATTTGCGGATTAGGGTTGAGGGTTTAGGGGTTTACGGTGGTGTGGGGTTTAATGTAGGGGCCTTAATAATGAGAGTAGGGCTTGGGGTCGTTTGGAGTAGGTTTAGTATACGGAACCACAAGGAAAAGTATTGGTCATTAGTTTTAGGCTTCTATAGTATAGGTGTCCCACGCCTGCTTGCAAGAAGTATGCAAGTGTAAGCTACCTGGGTTCTAAGCTTCGGGCTCGGGCTTTGAGGTTGATGGTTTCCAACTCACGAAAAGGCTCGCATGCAACCCTAAACCCCTCACTCCTAGGATTACTTGGAGGGTCGGGGGACTTAGTAAGCAGGTAGTAAGTAGAGTTATAAGCACGCTAAAAGGGATCGTAATTGGGGATATGGTACTTATAAGTCTCCAAAATAACTAGATACTAAGTCCCCCGACCCTCCAAGTAGAGGCTCAGAAGATGGACATTAGGATCTAACGTGGAGGGTGTTTTGGCTTCAGGTTTCGGCTTCAGGGTTGAAGAGTTTAGGGTTTAGGGGTTGGGGTTTAGGGTTTAGGGGTTAGGGTTTAGGGTTTGGGGTTTAGGGTTGAGGGTTTAGGGGTTAGGGTTGAGGGCTTAGGGGTAAGGGTTGAGGGTTTAGGGTTTAGGGTTGAGGGTTTGGGGTTTAGGGTTGAGGTTTTAGGGGTTAGCGGTTAGGGTTGAAGAGTATGGGATACGGAAGTTTGACCCAAGCACAGAGGCTCCAAAGACTACTCCTACTTCAGGCACATACCTTAAAGCTTCCTGCCATCGAACCACTTGAGGCATATTCCTCGCTGGACATGTTTTGAAAATCCTACATCCCGAACCGTACAAAATCGCGGAACCCTACTTCAATGAAGCTCACCACAACCACTACGAGGCCCAGAATGTACAACCCTCCAAAAACCTACAATGTATGGGCTGTAAAGTTTAGAATAGGGCTTTGGGATATTCTTTATGATGGGTAATGCAGACTTATATCATCCACCGTGTCAACCACCTGCAAGACAACATAGAACCTGTCAAAAACCCTCCAACACCAATTAAAACACCCCAAACGACTCTTAAATACCCGTTCAAGGGCTTCTGAGGGCAGTCCGTAGAAGAGCCCGAGGTCAATCAGCCAGACGAACAGCGACTGGAGATTGGTCGAGACCGCCCGGAACACCTCGGCTCTTGGGTCGAGTTTTTGGGCTGAGGGCGCTTTGCATGAAGCTACTTGGAGGAGTTGTAAAGTGCCCTAATTGGGGGTATAAGGAATGCTGACCAAGGAAAAGGGTACCTTTATGCCTTTATTATAAAGGGGCTACTTGGAGGATCATGGGACTTCGTAAGTAGGGTTATAAAGCACCCTAATTATTGGGGTTATAAGAAATCATAAGTATGGTTACCCTAATTATAACCCTAGTTACTAACTCTCATGACCCTTTAAGTAACCATAAAACCCCTCTCATAGAGCCCTTATAGATCCTTTTTGGGCTCAGACCCTAAACCCTAAACCCTAAACCCTAAACCCTTGAACCCTAAACCCTAAACCCTAAACCCTAAACCCTTAAACCCTAAACCCTTAAACCCTAAAGCCTAAGCCCTAAGCCCTAAACCTAACCGCCTTTCTGGTCCGAGGCACGCCACCCAGATGCCTGGCGAAGTTGGCTGTTTGGGGATGCCGGACGTAGGGTTTTGGGCTTGGTGAGCTTACTTCAAGGGTTCCTTAAAGGGATCCTTAAAGGGATCTATAAGGGTTCTATAGTGGAGGGTCGGGGGACGTAGTAAGTAGGTGGTAAGTAGAGTTATAGGTACCCCAAAAGGGATCCTACTTAGGGGTTTATGATACTTATAAGTCTCTACACTACCTGGTTACGAAGTCCCCGGACCCTTCAAGTTGGGGGGTTTGGAGTGTAGGATGTAGGGTTTACTGCTTCGGGTTCGCTCTTTGGGTCAAGGCTTTCGGATCTGTTGGCTACTGTTTTTGTTGGATGAGGCTATGGAAACTAATGGGTGTTTGGCCTTTTTTTGCGACCGCCATGCGCCATTGTATAGATGCCGTAACATAGGGGCCTTAGTACTATAGTAACTTGGAATAGGGTTTTTCAAGTCCATTCTACTATAAATATACTAAAGGAACCCCCAAACTAGTATAGATAATTATTGATTAAGTCCCCTATATCCCTAAATCCCTTATAGAGCCCCTTTTATGTAGAACCCTCCCTTTACAGGAACCCCTATAGGCCACCTTGAAACCGTCGTTCCTGAACACTAAGCTCGCGAAACCCAAGGAAGCGCCGAAGCCCGAAGTTCCAAGTCCCTCTGTTGATGATATAAATCCTAGGGTCCCTTTAAAGGGATCTATAAGGGTACCTTTAAGGAGCTCCTTTAAGGGATCTATTATGGTTTTAGGGTTTGGTGATAGAAATCCTGCATTAGCTTAAGGACCCTAAGCTATGGGAATTATGGTAGATTCCTTCTTATGGGTCATGCAGGATTTATATCATCAACCGTAAGCCCCAGCGAAGCCCTACCTCCTAAGGGTCCAAAGGACCCTTAAAGGGTTCCTTAAAGGGATCCTTAAAGGGTTCCTTAAAGGGTTCCTTAAAGGGTTCCTTAAAGGGATCTATAAGGGTTCTACATGCAGGGTCGGGGGACTTAGTAAGTGGGTTTATAAGTAGACTTATAAGTACCCTGAAAGGGACCCTAATTTGGGTTATGGTACGTATAAGTCTATTCAATAACTACTTACTAAGTCCCCCGACCCTCCAAGTACCCCCTAAGGGCCCAAAGGACCTAATAATCATACCTTAGGGGGTTCCTTAAAGGGTCTATAAGGGATCTATCAGGGATCTATCAAGGATCTGCCCCTCAAGGTCCACAGGACCTAACAAGTATCTACTTGGGTTTAGGGTTTAGGTTTCCTTAGAAGGGGTCTATCAGGGAGCTGTAGGATCTACGAGATTAGCCCTCAGGGTCCAAAGGACCTAATAAGTATGTACTTGGACTTAGGATAGTAGTTTTGCAGGTTTGTACTTGGGAGAGTATATGATAATTAGGTGCTTGGATACCCTTCTTGAAAGGTCGGGGGACTTAGTAATTAACTAGTTGGTTTCGACACTTATAAGCACCATAACCCGAAACTAGGATCCTGTTTAGGATACATGTAAGTCTACTTATGACCTGCTTACTAAGTCCCCCGACCCTCCAAGTAAACCCTAAACGCTGAACCCCTAAACCCTAAACCCCTAAAACCCTAAACGCCTAAACCCTAAACCCCAAAACCCTAAACCCCTAAACCCTAAACCCCTAAACCCCTAAACCTAAACCCCTAAACCCTAAACCCCTAATCCCGAAACCCCTACATCCCTAAACCCACTGAGCCCGAACATGTTCCGTGCCCGGGCACTTCGTGACCATCATCCCAAGGGCGTTCAGTCCCCAAAGGCCGAGAAGGTAGAGGAAGAGGATCCTTGTAAGATTTGGGCTTAGGGGTTTAGGGTTTAGGGTTTATTATAGGGTTCCTTTGAGGGTTCCTTTAAGGGATCCTTTCAGGGTTCCTTTAAAGGGATCCTGTAAGGGATCCTTGATGAGGGCGTCTTGGGCTTAGGGTTTTAGGGTGCAGGGGTTTTGGGATTAGGGCTTACGGTTTAAATGGGTTCAGTATGGTGTTGCTCCTTGGGGCTTCGGGTGCAGTAGGGGATTTAGGTGCACAGGAATGGTTTAGGATTCTACAATCAATACAGGGTCTGCAGCCGTTTCCAGGCATGGTTGGACCGAGAATGTAGAGAAGACTCGAGAATCAGGTCGAGAAAATAGATTATAGGTCGTTTTCGTCCTTCTTTCACAGGGATTCGGGGCAGGGTTGATGGCTGCACGGCTTCAAGGGCATAGACAGATCCGTTTAAACCCCCCTTTGAAAAAAATCAGTCCAAGTTTGAAGCCGTGGCCCTCGCAGCGGGCTTTGCTTCGAGGCCCGAGACATGTGCCGAGGCGCGAATCCAGTGTCCAGTTGTGGAGCATCAAGACGGAATCCTGGTCCCATAAACCCTAAACCCCTACACCCTAAATCTTAAACACAGTCCATAAACCCTAAACCCCCAAACCCTAAACCCTAAACCTTAAATAAACCCGGAACCCTAAACCCCAAACCCTCAACCTTAAACACAATCCTGGCTTGGAGATTTTGGGTCTAAAGGCTTAGGGCTCTTGGGCTTGCAAGGGGATCGTGGGCTTTACGATTTTCAGGTTTGGCTTCACCACATATAGCCCACCCCCTGAGAGTTTCCGAAATTAGGGGTACCTTTTTTGGGGATGTCCTTATAATAAGGAGCCTACTATCTAGGGTACTATATTAGGGTTCCCTATTTTCGGAAACTCCCCCCCCTAAGATGACGGTTTAGGGTTCAGGGTGTGAATACCGCTCCTTCAGGATATAGCTATGGAGAAAGATAGAAAGATGGAAACATCGATGCAGACATGCCCACTCTGCGACCTACTAATCGACTCCCACGACTCTCTCTCTCGATTCAAAGCCTGTTGCTAGCCCCAAACCCTACACCCTACAGTGAGCAAGGAACCGCAGTGTTCTCGTAGACGTGGCCGACATCGTCACCCGGGATGGACGCTGCGATGGGCATGATCTCAGAGCTTAGGTCTGGTGCTCTCTGGTTCGGATTCTTGGCTCTTTTTCAGGGCTTTGTGTCTTTGGGGTTTAGGCTTTAGAGCTTCCGGCGTAGGATTTAGGTGAGCAAAATTTGAATTCGAAAAGAGACCGGTCCAACACCTAGAACCACACACCCTCTCGCACGAAAACCAAACGAAGGAACGGATGAACAAACTGACCACAGCAGTCTCCGCAGAGGCACCACGCAGGCAGTGACGATGAGGCCGTAGATCCCTTCCGTCCCGACAACCTCATTTGGCAGGCAGTCAAACTACAAGACTGCAATACGGCCACGAAGCTTCTGCGGAACCCTATATAACCCTTGAAGAACCCTCGGTGAACCCTTAGAGACGTACAGGCTAGACCCTAAACCCTAAACGCGAACTTCGAGGATATTCAGGAACTACTCAACTTAAACTACAGTACCATAGCTGGAACCTATAGTAGCTAAACAAGAACCCATCTTAGCCGGGGCCCTTAGTAGCCTAGGGGCCTGGCGATGAAGGCTCTTGGGAAGCCCCGTTGGGTGCAGAGTTCGGGTTCAGCATCAAAGCCTTAGGGTCGGAGTCTACTTGGAGGGTCGGGGGACTTAGTAAGTAGGTTATTTTGGACAGGCTACTAAGTCCCCCGACCCTCCAAGTAAGGCTCTTCTAGCCCAGATATCGCAGTTGGTCAAAAAGCCATACGGTATGATCTCCTTGTAAGTAAGGAAGTGTGTCATCAAAGGTGCTTGCCTAGTAAGAGCTCTTCAACAAATCTAACACACTTGGCTTGTGTTACTGTGGTCTTGGGGGCCCCCTTTTCTAGCGCTTCTAGGATCACTGAAGAGACTCTATAGGATCGTAGCTGATGAGTTCAAAAGCCCAAAAGTTTAAACTTCCAGTTCTCAAGGGGATGCTATTTCAGCTACTAGTCTAGAGGACCATTGCCCTAAACACTAAACCCCTAAACCCAGAAACCTCTAAACCACCCCAAACCCCGAAACCCCTAAACCCCTAAAACCCTAAACCCCTAAACCCCTAAACCCCTAAACCGCTAAACCCCTAAACCCCTAAAACCCTAAAACCTCTAAACCCCTAAACCCCTAAACCCCTAAACCCCTAAACCCCTAAAACCCCTAAACCCCTAAACCCCTAAAACCCCTAAACCCTAAACCTCTACATCCCTAAACCCTCACTAGGCCCTAAGGTGGTTGACGCTGCGGGCCTGCAGAGGCTCCAGAGAGGTGTCTCCCAACATCTTCTCCTCTGGAGACATCGCACTTGGAGGATCATGGGACTTAGTAAGAGTTCTTTAAAAGGGCCCCTTAAAGGGATCTATAGGGTTCCTTAAAGGGATCTTTAGGGTTTAGTTTAGGGTTAGCTTTCCGGTTCGGGATTAGGGGTTTAGGGGTTTAGGGGTTTTGGGGTTCAGGGGTTTCGGGTTTTACAGAAAATCCAGATGTGCAGCTGTCCAATGATGATTGCATCTGTGCACATGGCTTCAGGGCTGGCTGCGGAGAACATGCCGCTGCGCCACGTCAGTTCATATGTGAGCTTGCAGCTTGCAGCTGCAACATGGGACGACCAAATTGTACAACCAAGGTCCTCGAAGCTGCCATAAGCTTCTGCACAGACATAACATAACGAACATTTGTTGTTGCGTGGAATAGAAATTCGCTTCCGCGCGCTTTGCTGATGGAGTTCTGCTGGGCATAAATCGTGGACAGATCGGTACTGTTGAGAGTGCCGATTTTTAGGTTTAGTAGACACCGCCGAAAAATTTGGTGCCTTTGCCGGGTCCTTCTGTTTGTAAACTAAATTTGAAAAACCTCTACCCTCCTTTCTAAGCCCACATAACGGAACCTTGTTTAAGATCCACCCTCTGACATCCTAAAGCCCTGAACCGGTACCAAGAGGCTCCGGTACTCCTTATCCAAGGACGGGACCTTAAAACGGGGCGGCGGTGTTATGGCATAGAGGACTGTTGTCACTTGCCATGCGGTTGTGAACCGCAGGTCTTGTCGAGGGGGCTCTTGAGAAAAGCAAGTGTTTCAGGCCCTACTTGGAGGGTCGGGGGCTCAGTAAGTAGGTAGTAAGTAGACTTATAATCACCCTAAAAGGGACCCTAATTTGGGTTATGGTACTTATAAGTTATAAGTCTCTAGAATAACTACTTACTAAAGCCCCCGACTCTCCAAGTAAGCCCCTAACCGGAGTGCCCAAAGCAAGCCATCCTTGATGGGAGGCCAAACGGGGGGTTTAAGATTCTTGGGGTAGGGATTCCTTAATATGAACCCTATTATGAGAACCCTAATCCCTACTCCCTTTTGACCTCCTATGAATCCTCAACGTGTCTCCTCGACGACAAACTGGATGCTGTTGACAAAGCGGGCCAGGATGCAGAGGAAAATGCCTGCAAATAAATGGGTGGTTGTCAAAATTATGGTCCCTTTGTGGGTCCTTAATCTAAACCGGCACCTAATATTTTAAGGTACCCAAAAAGGGACCCTAATTTAATTTTGACAACTACCCAGTCGGAAGGTGCAAGTGGTGGCGACAACGATGAGGAGCAGAGTAGCAGAATGACGAATGATGAATACTAGCAATGATAGCAGGGACAACAGCAGCCGCAATGCAGAGGTTCTTGCTACTGCTCGGCTGCTGCAGTATTTTTAGAACACTTGTGTTCTCGACACACGTGTTTATCGCGGTCTTCGTCAACGGAGAATCAGTTCCGAAACGACTCCTGTAACATCCTATTGACCGAGGCTTCCCAAACCCCAAATACCTAAAATTCAAACACCTTTAAAATAAATAACTTTTTCGGTGGTATGTAGGACTGAACTAAATCGACTGTACCTGTATCAAGGAACCAAAAGTTCTATTCCGAGACCTATGCTAACTAGGTTGGTCCATTCGAGCGTCTTAAAGTATTCGGAAATTAGATCCTCTTAAGCTCAACTATGGAAAAACTCTATATATATATATATATATATTTATTTATCTTAAAACTCCCCCTAAACCAATGTAGAGCACCGCCTAGTCCCTGTTCCGCGGCCGAGCTCGAGGAGGAAGTCTCTTCCGCGCTGAGGCTCGCAGCCTCAAGCAGAGGGTTGCTTGGGGTTTGGAGTTTTGTAGAGGACAGCGCTGACTTCTAAAGCCCGAGGTTCCCCAAAGCCACCCGAAATGCGGCTGCGGGCTTCTCGGGTGCTTGGGTTTAAGACTCAGGGACTACGATTCGAGCACGTTTGCGGCTTCAGGTTTGAGAACTTACGGCTTGGGGCTCGCCGTCTGGATGCTCCGAGCAGAAGGGCTTGGGCAAGTAGAAGTCAAAGCCTAAATAAACCCTTAAGCCTAAACCCTAAACCCCCTAAACCCCTAACTCCCTAAACCCCCTAAAGCCCCAAAACCGCTAAACCCTAAACCCCTACACCCAAAAACCCCTATAGAGCCCTTCTGGAGCCCTCGAAGCCTGTTGGACCCGTTTGAACCCTTATCAACCCTCGACTTAACCTAAATTCAACCACTTTAAGGTCTACCTGGGATCCAAAAACCTTCCGTTTTAAGGGTTTAGGGTTTAGGGTTTAGGGTTTCCCTCTAATTAAGGGGTCATAACCTACAATTTTGTAGGGTTTGGGGATACAGGTACCTATAGCCTCCATTGTAGTTCCTCTTTTTCGCTAACCATGTTTATAGTTGGGATCCTACAATATAGATTTGGGTTAACCAAGAAAAGACCTAGAATGGAGACTCTAGGTAGTATTTAGGGGCTTAGGGTTTAGAGTTCAGGGCTTCAGCATTTAGGGTTTACTTGGAGGGTCGGTGGACTTAGTAAGTAGGTAACAAGTTTACTTATAGGTACCCTAAACGAGATTTTCATTGAGTAATGGTATTTATACGTTTATACAAGAACTGCTTGCTAAGTCCCCCCACCCTCGAAGTAGAGACGAAATCTAAACCCAAACACACGACACTTCATAGAACCCTTGTGGAACCCGCTTAGAGCCTTTGCAGGACGTTTCTGGGACCTTTCAAAGCCCCTCTAACAGAACCACTATGCCCTTCTGGACGCCTTACTTGGAGGGTCGGGGGACTTAGTAACTGGCTATTTTGGGTGACTTATAAGTACCATAACCCCAATGAGGGTCCCTTTTAGGGGACTTATAAGTCTACTTACTACCTACTTACTAAGTCCCCCGACCCTCCAAGTATCGCAAGAGCAGGGCAGGCCTTGCCGATGATCATGATCGCAAGGAAGACCACCTGACGGGGGCACCGGTTTAGGGCTTCGGGTTGAGGGGCTTAGCGCAAGGCTCAAGAGCTTGGGCTTTAGGGCTTTAGGGGCTTAGGGCAAGGTTTATGCCCTAAACCCTAAACCCTAAACCCTAAACCCTAAACCCTAAACCCTAAACCCAAAAAAACCCTGAAGGTTCGGGGCTTTGGGCCCTTGAGGGCTTTAAGGGCTTCCATCTTCGGATCTCTTCCTCTTGGGATCACAAAATGCTTTCAACTGCTCTGATTGCCATGTGGGAGTTTCCGAAATTTGGGGGGTGCCTTATTTCGGGGGCCCTTATAATCAGGATCCTACTATTCAGGGTACTATATTAGGGTCCCCTAGGTTGTCAAAATTATGCTTCCTTTTTGGGTACCCTGAATATAAAGGTGCCGTACTATAATAAGGACCCCACAAGGGACCCGAATTTTGACAGCTACCCATGTGGCTGTTGGCCCTAGCAAAAGCCGGTTGTCCACATATCTAAGAAGCAGCAATGATGAGGACAAAGTTGCCGGCAGGGGCTGGAGGAATTGTCTCTCTGCCATTAGCACCGGCAGGCCTGACAGAATGGGGGAAATCTGGTTCCCGATGCAGGTTCCTTCGAGCTGGAGACGGCAATTGCCGGCCGCCGTGAACACGCCGGTTGAAAATACTAATTCGACGATGTCTGGGATGTCGTTGATCCAGCATCGTTTGAGGTTGGACTATGTCCTTCCCGGGGATTTCTCGGGTGTTTATAGCACCCAAAGTTTAGGGGTTTAGGGGTTTAAGGGTCTAGGGTACATGGAGAGTCGAGGGACTTGGTGACTTAGTGCTTCTAGAAAAGTATGTGTACCAGAACACCAAGTCGATCCCTTTTGATCCTCAAAAACCTAAAGGCTAACTGGTGGGAGTATGTCGGGATAAAAAAGGGGTTATAGTACCCCAGAAAAGTGAAAGGTTGCCTACCCTACTACTAGCAATTAGACAGCCTGCGAGTCTCAAGCATCAGGCGGGTTCAAGGATTCGAGGTCCCGTTCTTGGAGGATCATGGGACTTTGTAAGTAGGGTTATAAGTACCCTAATTGGGGTTATAAGTAATTATAAGTATAGCTACCCTAATTATAACCCTAGTTACTAAGTCCCATGACCTTTAAGTTGGCTTGCGAGCCCTCGAAGCCAGAAGCCTCAAACCGTAAACCCTGAACCCCAAACCCAATGCCTGAAACCCCAAACCCCGAAACGATAAACAGTAAGACTCCAAAAAATGTTGGGTTTAGTAGGGCCTGGGGTCAAAACTCGGATTGGGATTCATTGCTGTTTCGGGTTTTAGGCTCAAGGTTTGGACATATGTAGATCTAGATCTTACGGTTACTCTTGGACAGAACGAGTGGCTGCATTGTTCAAATCCTTAAGTTTATGTAGGCCGTGTTTCAGACTGCAAGGATGTGGGAGATTCCGAAAACAGGGGACCCTGATCTAGTACCCCAAATAGTAGGATCCTTATTACAAGGACCCCCAAATAAGGTACCCCGTATTTTCGGAAACCCCCATGTGGGACCGTGAACCCCAAAACCTGGAGCGGTTATGGCCCTGTAGACCCGCTCTTGTAGCCCCTGAATTAGGGTTTAGGGTTTAGGGTTTAGGGTTTAGGCTTTAGGGTTTCCTTTGAGCGAAAACAGTAAAGCCGCAAACCCTGAGCCCTCTAAAGAATGAGCTACCAAGACTCAAACCCGAAAGCCCTAAGACCCACCCAGCAAAATCTTTGACCCTCAAACAACAAACTATCAAACCCCAAACCCGAACGCCCTTAACCCTAAACCCCAAACCCCTAAACCCCCAACCCGAAACTCCAAACCCCTCCTAAACCCCTAAGCCCCCAAACTCCAAGACCCCGAACCCTCAACCATAAAACCCGAAACCCCTAAACCCCTAACCCTAAAACATCTACAAACCCTAGAACCCCCAAACCCAGAAAACCCGCACTTCTCCATCCCAAGGCCGGCCGGGTCACAAACATCCCCGACATCTGGATGCCGTTGAAACGCCGGCCCAGGAAGATATAGCTGTTCACCTTGAGTTTTAGAGTTTTGGTTTTTTTTAGTTTAAGGTTTAGGGTTTAGGGCTTTGGGGTTTTTGGGGCTTTTAGGGGTTTGAGAGGGTTTTAGGGTCTAGGGTTTTAGGGTTTAAGGTGGAAAACGTAGCCGTTCAACTTGTGAGCTGGCTTTTTAGCTACAGTGCTTATTTCGTGCATTGTGGTGTAGCAAGTCGAGTACTTGGAGGATCATGGGACTTAGTAGGCACGGTTATAAGTACCCTAATTGGGGTTATAAGTAATTCTAAGTATGGTTACCCTAACTATAACCCTAGTTACTAAGTCCCATGACCCTTTAAGTAATGTAGGAGCCTGATTGAGAAACCCTGGGTCTTTATTATGGATCTGAATATGGAACCTACTGTTTTGAGGTTATAGGCCCAGGGTTTCTTAATTAGGTTCCTACATTAGCAAGTCGAGTACAGTTGAAAGCTGACAAAGGGCTTGGAGTTCGCCGTTTGGAGTGGGATTCGGCGCGGGAGCTTGTGGCAAGCTGCAGGCTCTATAGCTGTAGTTCTTTGCGCAGGACACCCCCGAAGCCCTCACGCCTACACCCCAGGAACTTAAGTTCTCAATGCCTAAACATACAAGGTTTAGGTTGTATGGTTTTTGGAATGGAAAATGTGTGTGTGTGTGTGTGTTGCGGTTTTGCGGTTTAATGGCCTATGGCTTAGGGCTTAGTGGTCGAGATCGCGATACCGCGGTAGGAGAGAATAATCTCTGCAAATCGTCAAAACCGCGGAAGGTCTTGAGCGGTTTGCCAGGAGCTGCTGTCAATGTTCCAAGTCTAACCAGCCGCAAGGGTTTAGGGTTTAGGGTTGAAGGGTTAGGGTTTAGGGTTTAGGGTGTTTTGTTGATGGCTTCTTTCCGTTTAGGGTTTACGGGTTAGGGTTTAGGGTTTAGGCTAACCAGCCGCAAGGGTATGGCTCCTGAACAACGATACTATGGTTTCATTAGCTTGGTATCGGGATCCAATTCGAATTGCCAATGGAATATCTAACTTACTGTGATGATAAGGTAGGGAAGTATCTACTTGCTCCAGTTGGGGAACTCGTGATGGGTGCGAGACCACAAGCATCTCCTGCTAGTGCTACCAATTACTTCTTAAACCCAAGCACCCAAACGCCGCAGACCCAGACGCAAAAAGAGCCGCGAATCCCAAGCAAAATCCCCAGCCATAAAACTTGAAGCGGAAACCTATGTAAATACAGTGTTAGGGCTTTCGAATGTATACAAGCATAATCCGCAAACCTCAAGCCTTACTGTTTAGGGTTTAGGGTTTAGTTCAGGGCTTCTGAGTTTATACCAAGCCTAAAGCCGGAATCCCCAAGCCTTGCTCGAGGAATCCTTGGGGCTTCGGATGAGCCAAGCTGCCGCCACGAAGAGGATGATCGTAGAGCCAAGCATCAGCGCCGTGCCTCACTTGGAGCGGTGGATGATATAAACCCTGCATTACCCGAAATAAGGAATATACCATACTTCCCATAGTTTAGGGCCCTTAAGGTAATGCAGGATTTATTTCATCAACAAAAGCATCTAAACCCTAAACAAAACCCAGACCCTGAAGCCTGAACCGCAGACCTACAAAACCGTTGTAAAAGCCACGAGCCCGAGTGTTGTTCACGTGACGGCTGGCATGCGCCTGGCAGACATTGAACCTGCGGCACTCGAAACAAAATTCGAAAAATCAACCTTTGCCATGCCCCTAGGCCCCAAACCTGTCAGTGATGGCCATGGCTCATGCAGCATTGCCAAAGGTTCCAAGCACTGACACATTTCGCGCAAGCTGACTTCGAGTTCCCGGATATCGCATGCCCAGAGACTCCAAAAACCCCTTAATTAAGGAATATACCCTCAAATCATATTAGGGACCCTGCTATAATTTAAAGTACATTCCTTACTTAAAGGGTTTTGGAGTGGACTCTATTCAGGATCTAAGCCAGGGGTTGGGGTTTATTTAGGGTTGAGGGTCTATGGTTTCGGGTTTAGAGTTTGGGGTGTAGGGTGCAGGGTTCAAGCAGTAGTTTTGAGGGTGTTGTCCGAAGTTGAGAGCTCTGGAATATGCTGGCTCCTAAACCCTGCAGAAGCCCCTAAACCCTAAACCCCCACACCCTAAACCCCGAAACCCTAAACCCCTGAAACCTTAAAAATCCTAAACAACCCTGAACCCTAAACCCCAAAGCCCCAAAAACTTCAAAGACCCTATAACCCTAAACCCCGAAACCTTAAAAACTCCAAAAAGTCTGCATGCCTAACACCCTAAATTGCCGAGAGGCTGTTGCCGATGTAGACTAGGCCAGTGAAGGACAGCACCGAGCCGATCAAATCGAGCATCGCAGGTACAAACCTTTGTGCTCTTGGCGTTTACGGTTGCCCAGACCTCCGGGAGGATCTAGAAAGTAGATCCCCTAATTTGGGGCCCTATACTACCAAGGGTACTTTATAGGAACCCCATTAAGGGATCTACTTTTTGGATCCTCCCGGGGGTCTGGGTGGGGTCGAGGTTGAAGTTCAGGTCAGTGTTTAGGGTAGCTCAGGCTGGGATTCAAGCGAAGGTTTTGGTTAAGGTTTGGGTTAACGTGTTGGGGTTTAGGTTGTTGGGGTTGAGGGTGTTGGGATTTTGGGTTTAGGGTGTTAGGGTCCGGGGCGCTAGGGTTGAGGGTGCTTGGGTTTAGCGTCTTAGGGTTTAAGGTGCTTGGGCTTAGGGTGTTAAGGTCTAGAGGGTGTTTGGGTTCTATTTGGGTTCAGGGTGTCATGGCTCCGGGCTTTTCGGGTGTGGGTCTAAGGTGGATGTTAGGGTTTAGGGTTTAGGGTTTAGGGTTTTGGGTTTTGGGTTTAGGGTTTAGGGTTTTGGGTTTTGGGTGCTTTTTTGGTCACAGGGTCCAGGGCATTCTGAACTCTAAACCCTAAACTCACAGAGGGGCCCGTGCCATGTAGGCAGTATACAGATGCAGGGACCCATAATAAGATTTCAGGTATACTCCTAGTTACAGTAAACCCCATAAAGTTGGAAACCGGATTAAGGCCAAATAGTGCTGGGATTCCCTATACATTACTCTTAAGGATTGAGGCTACGGGGTTTCCAACTTTTCGGCTTCTACTGTAGGGGCTAGGAAGTCTCTGGGAGACGAGGGTTCGTTCTATCCTAGCCCCCAGAATCTGAGACCCAAAACACCAATAGTACAATAGTATGCACTGTTATTTCATAATGGTTCCTGTAAGTAGCGGGTCTCCCAACAACGCCTTGAAGAATGGCACTACCCTGAAACCTAAACCCTTAACCCTAAACCCTAAATCCCAAACCGAGCCCCATAGCACCCAGAAAGCCGAGGGGCACCAACGCGTAAACGCGCCACGGCTCCTGCTTTTTCGGTGGCCCGGCGACCTGCGAAACACGGAGGCCTCTAGAGTTCGAGGGTTTGGGGTTTAGGATTCGGGGTTAGGGTTTTGGGTTGGGGTTTAGGGTGAGGGATAAGGTGAGGGTGAGGGGTTAGGGTTGAGGGCTTAGGCTGCTGCTGGGGGCTATAATCATCAGTCAAAAAGTCGATGGAAGCTACCAAAAAATGCAACACGGGGCACTCAAATCCCTGCTTCGAACTGCCCATGAACCAGTCATGGACCCTAAACCCACCTTCCCAAGCCCACCTTATAAAAGTCATCTCAAACCGATGCTTACAAATCCAACGAACTAGGAATAACAAGCACCCCAAAAAGTTTCATTCATCGGGACCTGCTTTGCAGGGTTGGCATTTGGGGTCTCATGCCTCGGCCGGAACAGCTACCACCATCACAACTCCCTGTATCACTGCTACTTCTACTACTACCATCGCACTACTCCAGGATTTGATTTATAGTGCTGGGGCTTGGATTTTGGGACGAGAATGCCACCTTCTGCTGCTGCGCGCTCATGAACCAGTAGACCGGGTAGGACATCGTCATGCCCACGAACATCAGGAGGACCTGGGCATAAGCGGACAATGATAGCACCGAGCCCTGCAACCTACAACTTAAACTCTTTACCGCAACTCCCCCGAAACACTGAGCCCAAAGCCTAAATCCCCAAACCCTCGAACCCTAAACCCTGAACCCTAAACCCCCAAACCCTCAACTTGAAAGTCTAAATGCCAAAACCCTCGAACCCTAAACCCTAAACCCTGACCTTTCAGAGAGGAGTTCAAGTTTTGGGAGGCCTTGGCCTCACAAGTTTGACGAGCAGCTGCGAGGGATTTATCATGAGGATTCCAACATTCACCTGTCCATGTTCTGGGTTTTTGTCAAAGGATTTAATAATAGTTCAAGTTACCACAATAAGGAAACCATACTATACTATTTACTCTAAGTCCTTCAATATGGTAACTTAAATTAAATCCCTTAAGAAAAACCCCGTGTTTGGCTCGTTGATTGTCTGCAGCTCCCATAAGAGGATTCGGATTTTGGGTTAGGGGTCCTGGGCTTGCGACGGCATGCGTCTTCTGACAGCCTCTGCACTGATCCGTCCGACTTCGTGAACTTTCTTTTTTCCTGGCATCAGGCCCCTCAAGACAACGAAGCACGATTGAAGTCAAGCACACCCTAACAGGCCGCAACCCTAATCCTGAACCCCTAAACCCCTGAATCTTAGCGGTAGCGATTAGCCCGAAATCGGAGTGAAGCGCTGCCCGAAGCGTTACTGAAGCTTGCCGGTCCCAAGTTTCGAAACCTTCTAAGACCTGAAACCCTAAACCCAAACCCTAAAGCCTAAACCCTAAACCCGAAACCCTAAACCTCACACCCTCAACTCTAAACCCAAAACCATGCACCCAGTTTTAGCTCCAAAGCGGAGAACCTTCAGGCCGAGCCACCATAAACCAGGGCTTGCGGAAGTTGTGAGGCCCATAATCCTGGACTCGGAAGGAACCGAGGAAAAAGTAAGGTGTTAGGGTTTAGGGTGCTATATAGGGTCTAGACCCAAGAGTAACCTAGGAACAAAAAGGGTGCCCTTTTTGGTTTAAAGGGGCTTATAAGGGGACCTGAACCCTAAAAAAAGCGAATAAGGGCCTACCCCAGGTCCTAGGGGTAGTTGGATTCAGAGCCTAGAGTTAAGCGTTGAGCTTTGAGGGCATTCCGGTTCGGGGAGTCTGGTCTGGGGTTGAGGGTTTGGGTGGTAGGTAAACGCCCTTACTATAAGAGTTACCACAGCTAGTGTACTCGCGTCTACGTTATAAGGGACGCTCACTGCAACATCAAAAGCAAGTTTTGAACCCGAAAACACTCTCCACACTGTAAGCCCTGCATTCAAAACCCCAAACCACAACCACCCGACAACCCGGCCACAGGCCCCATAACGAAATGCCACACTTTTTCCTTTGCACAAAAAGAATGCCAGAAGGAAGAAAGACACATGGTAAAGATCAAGGTAAGACTACGACACAATATACTCAGCATGGCTGCTAATATAGGGGCCTCGATAATTTAAATATGGTTTTGGTGACCATTATGGTATACTTATAACAAGGAACCACCAAAATAGTCTTGGTAATTGTTAGAAATTGAACACAAGGTTTCTCCAAAACCCAGGAGTCAGGATCTATGCAGAAAAACGTTGCTCTGAAAGCCAGGAGTCAGGAAGCCCTTCGGTCTTGATCTGGTAGGCCAACTTGTTGGTCACGCCTCAAGGTTTAGGCTTCAGGGCTTTAGGCTTTAAGGCTTGAGGCTTTAGGATTTGTGCTTGAGGGTTGAGGGTTTAGGCTTTAGAGTTGGGCTTGGGGCTCAGCATGGCTGTGGGATTGCTGAACCGGAAATAACGGAGGTAAGGGCTTTTTGGGATTTTTGAGGATTCAGCGGTTCTGGCCTTTGGGTTTGTGGACTTTTGGGGGTTTAGGGTTTAAGGTTTAGGTTTAGGGTTTAGGATTTAGGGTTTAGGGTTTAGGGGTTCGGGTGGTCAGGGTTCTTAAACCCTCCTCCCTGGAGCCTCATCAGGCTTCCATGTTTTTAACTCTAAGCCTTTAACCCGCTTTATTTTAGAAGCTGCCCCCACCCTTTAATAGTGACTATAAGGATTTTCTTAGGGCCCTATTATATTCCTATTATGCCACTATTACAGGGTGGGGGCCCCTTCTAAGCTTTGCTCCTGAAGCAGAAGCACGGAGCCTCAGTCCGAATTCTCAAACGCAAACTCTACCCCCGTTAGAAGCATCATAAAAACAATATTTGGATTATTCTCTTGGGCTCTTAGACGCCATGCCATGCCCGGAAGCTGCATGATGCTCAACATGTGCAGTTGAGGTTTTCCTTTGTTTGGGATTTTGGTGCTGTTGGCACGACAGATCTGAGACATCAGGGGAACGGTTCAGGTTTGCAATGATGTAACGTCGGTATCTTTGTAACCCAATAAGGACACTCCAGTGACAGCAAAGACTTACATGTAACGTAAGCCATGGCTGCCTCGCCTTTCGGCTTGACCAGGATTTTTAGGCAGGTTGCTATTTGCGGTACCATCATTAGGACCTTAGGATCCCATTGCCTGGGTATCTTTTCCAGTTATGCAAAGTACCCGTGAATCTCGCAGGCTCTGAATGCAACCAAGCAGTACCAGCTGCGCAGTTTCTCCTCTTGACGCAAGCGGCTCTGCGCCAGCCCAAGCAGCCCAAGTCCAAGTTCAGCTGTCCACGGCATCACGCATCAAAATCCACCACGTCCCGGCGCTTCGGATCGGTCCTGTTGCTTTCATGTACAATGCGCCATACAAGCCCATTGTACGAGCTCATCTCACCCCAGCCTTTTTGCTTGACATACCTACGCATCGCTTCGAAAACCTCGGGTGTCGTTGCCTGGCCATGGCTGAGGAGCTTCTCCCTGAGGAACAGCTGCCTCACATGACTGTCCGCAGGGGGCAACTGCCACATACCCGACGAATTGCTTGCAAGGAACGCCCACCGAAGTTTGGCTTGCACATCTTCGACGGTGTCGCCCCGGGACGGTAGAGCACGCAGGTCGCGCAAATTGTGCTTGTTTTCGGTTGCATTTGCAAAAACCAGCAGTGCTTCTCGCATGTCCTGGTTGAACTGCTGATCCAAGAAGCCCAGCATCCTCAAGACCGTAGCTGCCAGTGTCGAGGAGTCTTCGAAAATGCGGGGCCCACCACCGCGGAATATGCGGCGCGCGAAACTAGAGCCATATTTCCGTATCTGGGCAGCACTTGACTTGCCTCGGTTCCCAACCCCAGTGGGCAAAATGAGAGACAGCTTGCGTTCACATGGTACCCAGGCCCTCTCTGCATTGTTGACCAATTCCTGATGTACCTGCTTCAGAGCAAGACCCGTCGGAAACAACACCAAAGATCCACGTCCGTTCTCGTACCAGAATTTGGCCATAGGATTCATCAAAAACCCATTGTGCTGATCTTCTTTGCAGTAGCCCAGTTCCACCAGCTTGTGTTTGACGACCTGATGCTCCTCTTGGCAATGCAGTCGTGGTATTGGGGCGCAGAAATTTACGCTTCCCTTCCCTCCTGGAAGTAGGACGGCCTGGACTCGTGTGGCTCTTGGCTTGTCGGCTTTCACGACATGCACGTCTGCATGCGCTTTCCGGTACAGCTCCGCAACGTGCATTCGTGCGGCGGGCACAACTACAAGCACTTGCTTTCCGCTGGCACTGGCACGACGTACGAATGGCACGAAATCTCGATCCGAAGTCAAAAGCGCAATTCGTGACGAATTGCCTTCGATGAAGCCTTCCAAGGCATCAATGATGGCTGAATCACCTGGTTTTCCCGTACCCGTACGTGCAACGGGTTGGAAAACCACTCGCTCATCTGTCAACAGTTCTTGCCATGTCTTCTTGTTTACCGTCTCAGGCGCTGCAAAGATCAAAGTCTCCATAGCCTTGCAGCTTGAAGCAACATATTGCATGCCTCTCCTGATTTCATCAACGCTGTGTGTGTCTGCGTCCACGAGCAGTTGGACGTTATTTGCGACAGATTTCCGACCCTCTCTCACTGAAACACAGGCATAAACTCTTCCTTTGGCGACACGTCTGGGTCGGTTTACAGCCAGACTGCCTGCTGCAAAGCAGGCCAAGGAAACACTCAAACCTCTCTGGCCAGCAAGACCTGACGTGCAAGATGATGTCGGGGCATGCTATTGGGGACAATGCAGGGTTCATGGTACCTAACATCTATATAATGCTGATTTGAGGGCCTGGAAAAGTCAGCATGTCAATGGTTCTATTTCATATGTGGGTCGTTAATCAGCGACATAAAACCTAGCTTCACACCACCCGCAATCACCTTCAAGTCATTTCCAACTTTGCCCAGTGACAAGGATCCTGGCCGACTCCGAAGACATTTCTGGATCTCCGGTGCCATCTCGAGCATGGAATGCGGCAGCCAAGGATCCAAACGTCTGGCCCCAGCCGGGTCGAGCTAAGCGCGGATCCGATCATCTCGCTCGCAGGCGGAGAAGAACTACCAAAATGCCTAGTCTATCCCCATCCATGCTGGACAAATGAAGCTATGGGAATTATGGTACACTCACTGTTACAGATCCTGGAGGGTTTTGTCCATCCAAAGTATCCGGAGAGCCCCAATACCCTTTGATCAACTTAAGCAGTCGATCTCAAATTGTAGAAGGCTTCTGATTAGATTACGATTTCAGGTACTTTACTTACCTGAGGTGTATGTGGTTCCAGGGTCTACGGCACTGACCGGCCTCCCACGGTGATGATGAAGATGTAGGCTGCCACCAGCGCCTCGTTTCGGAGCCAAGGCTCCCAATGGGCTCGAACAAAGCCTAAAACCCAATCCGACAGCCAGAGGACCAAAAAAGGCAGGCGACGATTTAGGGTTTAGGGTTTAGGGTTTAGGGATGATACAACGAAACCCAGCCTGTTTGTTCATGGTCGCGTCTCTGACTCGGCAGCCCAGATCGCGAGGGGCCACGTGAAGTCACTAGACCAACAGATACCCTGAGAAGGGTTTAGCGTCTAGGGTTCAGGATACCTAAACTGTAATAACCGTGCTCTGGCCCTTCAGATCTCTCTACGCCTACATTCTGAGCCCTACGACCGTCCCTTCCTCCGTTAGACCCTAGTTAAATCCTGAACTCTACACGTTGCTCTTCATCATCCTGAGGCATCTTTTGCTCATGCGGATCGCTGACAGTAAAACAGCTGCCACGCGGATTTTGGGTGCAGCATCTTGCGATTCGGGGTATTGGGAACAGAATGTAAAGCTCAGGGTTTAGGGTTTACGGTTTGAGGTTCAAGGTTTCGGGTCACAGGTTCAGGGCATCACGGCAAGTTTAAGCCTCAAGGGAACCTAAACCCTAAAACTCAAACTCGAGGACCTAAACTCTGTAACTCAAAGCCAGCCGTCAACCGTACCAAATCCCGCTAGCACCGCCAATAATCCTGCAAAGCGAACCGATCCTTGCAAGAGCTGTCTTCACGGCCCTCGTGAGGATTGCTGTGGCCGGATTGATGAGTCCAGGTTCAGTGTGCCTTTGTTGCATCAGCAAGTGCCGCAGTTATAGATTGACCCAAAGCCTTTACAACTCGATGGTACCGGTCTGAGGATTGAGCCAACCGTGGTGCAGGGAACAAAACATGCACCACGGGAAGGTTGAGGACCTTTACCAGGAGGTATCCCGATGAGGATCCTGATCCACCATAAACTCTAAACCCTAAGTCCACAAAAAACAAGCCGAAAACCCCTCTGAGATTCAAGTGGGCCGAGAAGACCAGGAAGCAGAGATGTTTCGAAGGATCGCCCATTTGTGCCTGGGCTTTGCGGTTCAGGGCTTTATGCGTTCGGGTGCACGCGTTTAAGGGTTTAGGGCTTGGGGTTTAAGGGTTTGGGTTTAGCTACGATTGCTCAGATAGTTAAGAGGTCTAGGAAGGTGAGGGCCTAGGGTTCAGAGTTTTGGCTTTCAGCTTCTGAGCTTGAGGTTGGGGATTCAAGGTTGAGGGATTAGGGTTTAGGGCAGTTCTCGCGAGCAGGGGTTCTTGAAAGCAAAACGTGATAAACACGTGTGTTACCCCCCTCACAACCCCTAAACCGTAAACCTTGAACCTTGAAGCACGTTAAGACACGGCAAACAACCCTATAGAAGCCCTACAGAACCCAACCCTAAACTCTATGCAAACCCTCCAGGGACCAACGAAGAACCAATGTGGAACCCCCGTCGACATTTTCATGGCTACAAGAGCCCCAAAGGATGAAGAAATCAGTGGGAAGCCTCCTGCACTGAGCGTCCGGCTACCGTCCGATTGCTGCCGAAGGCGATGAACGCTTGCTCGGTCTGTCGTGTTTTTTTGTGGTTCTAATAAATTTCAGGACATGATATTCCTTACCCTAACACTCCAGGTACAAAGGGTATTCGTAAAGGTTCCAAACAGGACAAACACGACACGTACCCTAAATCCTAAACCCTAAACCCTAAGCCCCAAAGCCTAAACCCTCCAAAATTCGACCTGTGGTTACAAATTTACCCGCCCTGCCTAAACCCTAAGCCCTGAGCCCCAGGCCTTAAACCCTGAAGCCTAAACCCCGAGCCTTTGCCCCAAACCTCAAACCGTGCGCCGTAAACCCTTAACCCTTACCAATAAAACCCTAAACCCTGAACCCTTACCCCTGAACCTTACACCCGAACTAAACATTACCCCTCAACCCAGACCCCTAAACCCTTACCCCGGAACCCAAAACCCTAAACCCTTAAGCCCAACACCCACAGCGCTGGAAGCCCGCAAGACCTCGTCCCAGGCCACCATCTCCCCATCCAGCACGGCCTCCGGGTCGAGATTCGGATTTCTTTTTTGTTTTAAAGTGCATCGGACTTTTGATTTCTCGCCAGCCCGCCCAGTTCGGGCATGCACTCAGTAGAGAAAATACACAAAACACTCCCCGCTGCTCAGTCGTCTCTCACTAGGTAGTTCAACTTTTCAGTGGTCACGACTCCAAATCCGAATCAGGGTTTAGGGAAGCTTAGGTTTAGTAAACCCCTAATCCCCCAAACCCAAATCCCCAAAACCCTTAAACCCTTGACACCAACAGATCTGGGTGTCCGTCGACAAAGGGCTGCCAAAAACAACCACAACACCTTACACGGTTGTAAATTATACAGTATAGCCTTTAGGCCCGACATCCTTACGACAAACTCTGAGTCCAGAGAGCCTTTGGGTTTCTGTTTCCCCGGTGCGGATCCTTGCTTTGAGGATCCTGCGACTTTTCTGAAACTCGCATATGTTTAGCTTTACGGGCTTTAGGGCATGGGCTTTAGGGCTCTTGATTCGGGATCTTTCGTTGGGCGGTTTCCTGCCACGATCTCAGTATGAAGGGCGGCTTTTGGACTAAAAGCACGGAAGACTAGCTCCAAACCCCAAACGCCTAAACCCCTGAGCCCTTGAAAGAGCCCCCAAGATCCCACACTTGTCGTCGTACTGCGCCCTAAACGCGGCACACCCACACCTCCAGCCTCCCGATGAACAAAAAAAGAAAGCCCTACAAGCCAGAGAAACGAGATATCGTGCTCCAAGGAACCCTAATTTCACGCACTTCTACACGTTCTACCGCAGCCAAAAGCTATTCTACAACTCTGCACATACTCTGTAAAATCCTGATAAAGGCACTTGTAGAAACCGTGTTCGGAACCGCATTCGAATCTCTCTGCTTGCCCAAAGCACAAGCTCTGCACTTCCACACTCCATCCTAGCCTGTCTGCCCAGCAGGCCATTCAGCAAGACAGGGCGCATGGTGGGCGCGTATGCCTCGTCTCGGAGCTGAAGACTTGCGTATGCGTACTATCGGAGCCATACTGGTTCGAGTAGGGTTTCGGGCCATCTATATTTATATAAATATATAATCGGTATAACTGTATTCAAGACTTCAAGGGGACTTTAATACTAAGAACGCCAGGGTTGTATGAGGGATGTTCAAGCCCCTTGTGCGCGTGTTTTCGGCTTCCCTCAGCCCGAAACAACCTAAAGCTCCGAACCCGAAAACCCTAAATCCCTAAACCCAAAACCCAAACACGCATCCTAAACCCTATCATGGGTCACTGCACATGGGATCAGGATAGTCCTCAAAACTTCGGGATCCCTTTCAGGATCCCTTGTATAAGGGTGCCGACTTATTTGGGAACCTAAACCGGGACCTTTCTTCAGATGAACCAACTCGGTTTGAATCTTGAGGCCCCCTTCCATGACTCCAAACCCTCAGGGGCAGAAGTGGACAGCGCCGGGGTTTAGGGTTTGTAGTACGAGTAGGGTTTCAGATTTAAGGCTTGGGGTTTAGGGTCTATGATTTAAGGTATGTGAACGCCCTTGCGATTCCCAATAAACCGGCAAGCACCACACCAAAGAAAAAAGTCTCGCAACACTCGAAAACTACAAAAACAAAAAAGAGCCACCTTAAATGTTGCCCGTGCAGCAGTACAGTGCCCATAAACTCTAACAGATTAAAGTGCTGGAGTTTCGGTGCTTTGGGCGGTACCTCGGCCGCGCAAGTTTGGGTGTCTGCAACAGTGTCGACAGGTTGTGGAGGTCACACATCGTCGTAGCCTAAACCCTACCCTAAACTCTAAACCGCCGGAGTGCGAACTCCCTGCAGAGCTCATTCCTGCAGCAGTGATCCATTTTTCGAGGGCTTGCGGGAGGTTAGGGTTTAAGCTTTAGGGTTCAAGGATTCCGATATTTAGAGTTGGCACATGCAAGAACGTCTGAGGCCGTGTCGCTGGTGTAGTCGATGGCACTTCGGGTGTAAAGCCTGGCAGTTCCGGGACTGTCCCTGGGGGATCTTGATTTAATGCTAGAGTACAAAGCCCATAAAGCATTCAAAATGGCCCCGAGCACCCGTGGAGCGCAAAACACCCAGGAAGCTGCGGTGCAGGGTTTTTTGCTTGTAATGTCTAGGGTTACAAGATTTTGGGTTTGGGGTTGATGTTGGGGGCCAGGCCTCCGCCAAAGCCACTGCCCCAATCAGACGACGACTGCCACCGCTGCTACCGCCACTACGACTGCCACTGCCACCCTCCGTGTACCACTGCCACCACCACCACCACCACCACCACTACTAAGGAACGGGTGCAGAAGAGGACGGCAGGCTAAAGATCAGTCTCCAATGTTTTCCTGTTGAGGAACTGAAATTGAGTCGCCGTTAAAGGGTCCCTTTAGGGTTATTGCGGGGGGTTCGTTTGTGGGCTACATGTGAAATAAACGAAGATGGCTTGCTTACTCTGGTCATGTAAATGTAACTCTCCGACTAGAACCCTATTAACTAGCCCTGAACCCTAAACTACGCCCTATCCTCAACGCTTGGGATGTCGGTGGCTTTTCTTTTTCAATGGCTTCGCAGCAAGGATGGCGAATGAAATATCCTTAGTTCCGTCATTCCTCTCTAGGTTCAAACGTTGGCCCTGAGGCGCCCTCGAACGCAAGAAGCAGAACCTTCAATCCTGCGAGCTCAGCACCAAACCCTAAGTGTCGGCATTGAACCGGAAAGCAGCAGAATCGTCCCGAGCGGAGCCCGTCAAGACAGCCAGGGTCTCTCGACGCGTTTCGCCTGACATGGTACGCAAGTCTTGCAGCAGATACCCCCCCTTTCCCCTCCGGCTCCCGTCATGTATGGGAATCTTGGCGCTTGGGTTTCAGAGTTTAGGGTGTACGGTTTGGTGGTGCTGAAGATGACAATGGATTGGATAGTGGTGCGGATCACCGCAATGAATGCTCTCGTGCGTGATGTCTGCACTGCCACTACCAAGATCACTACGGTTGATGACACTACGGTTGATGATAACATACCATGATTCCCATAGTCTTGGGCGAATGCTCTATCATGCTATGCTATGGGGAATGTGTCCAGGCTTCTGGCGGTCTAAAACCCATTCTGATACACATACCGGC